ACACACACACACACACACACACACACACACACACACACACACGCTCTGATACAGAGAGCCCATCTCTAAGAACTTATCGGCTTTCTCTTGCACAGCTGGAGCTGCACATGCAGGAAAAGAGAGAGGACATCCCGGTCCAGTGGTCCTTCATCAGTGTGCCAGAGATGGCCGTTGAGATCCAGCCCCAAGCATCGCAGGAGGTTAGTCCATGGGTTTCTGTGGTTCCTGAGAACGTGTGCATAGGATAGCAGGCTTACGTCAGTGAGGCCTACTGGGCCCTTCCCTCTGCCCCAGCTGTCCCTCCCAGGATGACTGGAGGCACATGGATCTGACCTCTTAGGGGAACAGATCCATGGGGGGCGGGGGGGCTTTGGGTGTGTGCAGCTGCTGGTAGACTTGGTGGGGACTCCTGTCCTGGGCTGCACTGTGTCTTCATTGGCACAGCTGCCGGGAAGCCTGGAGCAGCCTGGGTCTCCTCCGGGGTGCAGGTGGAATTGGTCTGGGCCTTTTTCAAAGCACTGTGTGCACTCCAGGCTGGGAACGATGGAGCTGATGCAGCCTTACACTTCTGTGAACGTTCCATCCGGCCGTGTCACCAGATCCCCTCTAACTCCGGCGGTACTCAGACACGTGTCCTCAGGAGCAGGGCCTCTCTCTGCGCACCTTCTCTGCAAGGACACATCTAAAACCTGCAGGCGCTTTAGGGCACGTAAGAGCAGAGCGTGGGGATTCCAGGTCAAATTGATCGCGTCCTTTTCAGGGGTTGGTGAGATCGTATTAAAGTCATTTATAGTGGCGGTTGCTTTTGCTAGGTTCTGCCTCGACCGTGGCTTGTATGATTGCCTGGCCTTCTGCTCTGGTTCAGTCTTTGTTCACATATTGTCTTGCCACCGCAGCTGAAATAGACCAATGTAGTAGCCTGTCTACCAATACATTAAAGTGACGGGGGCGGGGGACCCCATGGGGAAGTTCTTCCCTGTCTCCTGGGTGGCTCGTCAGAAGTTGGACGGACTTGATACACCCAGCGGCAGGAGCCGCAGCAACAACAGCACCTGCTCGCCTCTTTCGAGATCCAATGCTATTGCTTCCCCCACCCCCCCTTGGAGACTTAACTTTATCTTTTGAATGTGTCAAATGTTGCCACAAATAAAAAGTCAGAACGTACACACAGTCTCATCCCCCTCCTTACCCGTTCTCCACCCTGTATGTCACCAGTTCTATAAGGCTTTGTTGATCCTTCGTATGTCCCCACCGCTCCACTCCCTCCCCTGAAAAAGAGATGTGTGTAAAAACACACACAATCGCCTTTCCTTATCTTCTTACTCCAAGGGTGGTTCTTCTTGTTAGCTACCTGCGTCAGCCCCGGACACGTGACAGCCCACTCACCACGGAGGGGCGTGTTGTGAGCCAGAGGGTTTGCACTGACTGATGGGAGAAGCAGATCACCAGGCTTTTCTCCCTAGTCTGTCTTCATCCGAAAGCTCTACTGAAACCTGGTCAGTGTCATAGCAACACACAAGCCTCGACTGACCTATGCGGGTGCATCGGCTGGACATGCTGCATGCTCTTTATACTTTGCTCCCTCTCTACCCCCTACGGCCGCACATGCACTCCCTCAACCATAGCACGCTCCGGGTATGAATGAGCAGCGTGGGGAGATGCCAGAGAACGAAGCCGGCCCTGAGTCACCAGCTCTCCTGGTAGTTCCTAGCTGGAGACTGGAATGGATAGCGGTGCAGTGCGGTGAACGTTCGGAAACACAGGATCGCGTGTGTCTGCTGGATGCTAATGATGGTGGTCGCTTGGCAGGACCCATCAGTCCTCTAGCTTTGTTGGTCTTCTGCACACTGGGTTCCATATTCTTCATCCTTTCCCTTTCCTTGAATATTTTTAATCTCCAAAAAATAACAAGTCTTTTGCAAGAATGAAAACCTACATGTTTGTATTTGGAGGGGGAGTGGGGACTGAACGGCTATACATGGAATATTAACATTTCCATGGCGTCTCATGTCTTCTTTGAAAAAAAAAAAAAAAAGGCAACAAGTGTGAATCAGTAGAAAGAGCCAGCCTCCTAGAAGGCTCTCCTATCGCCTTTGCCGTAGTCTGACGGTGGCAAGGACAGGTGGGGACTTCCGACTGGGGCATCATGAGGAGAGCGCTTTACCTAGGCCTGGGCCGGAGTGCTTGGTAATGGTGTGACTGGTGACTCCTGCCTCTTTCACTAGGACCGGCTGCTCGAGACCCGCGCAATAGCTGAAACTCTCAAGGAGCTCCTGAAGCATCTGGTTAGCTCTGCTTCCTCGTCGGTGGTTCTGAGCACCAGACCCATGAGCGTCCAGGAAGTTCAGGTAAACCTGCTCACAGGGGTAGGTGCTGGGGAATCCCACCAGGTACGGGCTTACCTCTCCTGGTAATGGAATTATCCACTGGACGGACCTTAAAAGGCTGAGTGCCACAAATCGCCTTGAGAACCATATGCCGCGCTTTGTTCGCTCAACATTAGGACCGTGAGATTGATCTGCTTTGTTTTGTGCAGCTGTACACTGTCCGTGTTCCGTGCTGTGTAGTATTCCATCATATGATAGCACCTGGCAAACGGCAACAACATGCGTGTGCGTATGCAAGTGTATACACGTTATGTGGGGATGGATACACACCTACGCACAGGTGGCAGTGTCGCTATTGTTGTTAGCTGTGGTCAAATCCGCCTTGGCTCCTCGGAGCCCCACAGAGTAGAACCACTGCATCGAGTTTCTAGGCTGAATCTTTTTGTTTGTTTGTTGGAAATTCGCTTGTGTCACACAAGCATGTAAGTCAGTTTCGATTTCACTTTTCCTTCTTTAACAACCCCTCAGACCAGTGTTTTGATTTGATGGGTAAGGCATCAGAGGTGGCTACGTCTGTGACACTTCTCTCTCCCTCTTTTAAAGTGTTTTTCATTTTTATGATGATTTTGCTTTTATTCGTGGACTGTAACATGCAAAGGAAAGCATCGTACACACTGTTAGGCAGCACGTACCCATCCCATTAGAACAGTCAAGGTGTTATGCCAGTGTACGTTCCCCCGGATGTGGTTTCTCCCTCTCTGTTCTCCGCCTCCCCTCTCCTGCTTCCTCTTGCTCCTCTCTCTCCTTATTCCTGGTCCCCCCCCCCCTCCCGTCTCTTTTCCTCCCTCCTCCTCATCATCTTCAAAGTCTCTTCCTATGCTGTGAAAACTCTTCCTCTTCCTTTATAAAATGGTGTCATGAGGTAGTTATGAGATTGCTGTTTTGCCCAGGTCCTCAGGTGCTCCACCGACTTGTCCTTGCTTTTGGATGCATAACGCCCCATTGTGTGTGTGGACCATTCGCCTGTAATCCTGATGGAAGCCGGGCAATGCCCTTTCTTTTGTGGTGCTGCTGGCTGGGTTTGAACCACCACCCTTTCAGTTAGCAGCCAAAGGCAAACTGCTTTAACCATCCGGGCCCCAGATAAAGAACTGCATGAGTATTACATTTTTCCATGGCAGTGCTGATATAGCATGGTGCTCTTCATCCACCTTGGTGAAGTCTGTGTGAACACATAGCTTTCGGATGGTTTTGACGATGCAGCCTTTAGGGTGTGGAGACGTGGCTTCCTTGGACAAACTCCAGCTGCACTCATAGTTTAGGTCCTGGACGCTTTGGGCTTTGAGACAATTGGAAACGAAACGGTCCTCACCCTTCCTAGTGGTCTCAGCTCAGCAGAAGGGGCAGACGTGTCAAAGAGTGGTGTAGTATTAAATTAAAAGTGACACGGGGGAGTGGGGTGCCAGCCCCACCCACTGCTTGAACTCACTGGTTCAGTAATACTACTTCTGGGTTCAGTAATGCACAATTGTACGCTTGAGATATATAAGCATTATATTAAAGTCATCGAGAGCATGAGAGATAATACAATAATACAGTCAGACATATTACATGGTAGCATTGCTCACCTCCGCCCC